CCCCAAAACCCCAAAACCCCAAAACCCCAAAACCCCGGCTGAAGACAAAAGAAATGAAGATTAAAATTTTGGGATTTTAGTAGATGTAGTGCACATATGAAGAGGACAACATTTTGTAGGACTCACATTCCTCGCATATACCGTAGATTAGAGCCTTGTTTGGACTCTCTTCCTCTCATTTAATTCTATATTGAGGTTAGTTGGGAGACTCAGACGAGAGTACAATGATTCAGTTACATGAAAAACTTACCCATTATAGTAGCTATTGTAAGTATCGCTCTTAAGTTGATCAAGAGTTGAATTTTTAATAACTTCAAGAATGAGTTCTTTGAAATAATCATTTAGCATAAGATTCTCTCCATCTTTAAACCCCCTTAAAGTAAGAACTCTAAGATTCGGTCTGCAAAGGAGCTGTTGCAACGAGTCGTTTCTGTATTCGTAATCATAGATTTTCGCCTTTAGGCTAAAGAACTCCAGATCTATCAAAACATTCTTACTGATAAGACCTTTCCAGGTCTTATCAGAGGTGGTCTTGGACACAAATGCGCTAAATTCTTTTTCCTCCTCTTCGTCAATATCTGGGGTGAATTTCTTCATGATTTTAACTGTCTCACAGAAACTTGGGTTGAAGTGCTTGAAATCACCTATAGGTCTCAGGTTGTCCATTACTAGTCTCAATGTATGAATACATGTTGTTTCGAATTATAATACAGTTCTTTAACATGTCTTCTTCAAATCCTTTCTCTTTGAGGTGTGAAATCATTTCTCTTCTGAAAGGATGATGCTGAGGATTCTAAAGTTATAGCAAGGACTTACTTTGACCAATCTTGCCTTTGTGATCTTAAAAGTCCTAAAATTAGTTTTATGTATGTTTTTGTGGACTTACTTCATGAGTCCAGTTTGCTTATTTTTCTTCAGCTCGGTCAACAAATACAGAGCAAGTATCGTCATAATAGAGTAATTTTGAGCTATTGTGAATTCCAATGTGCAGCTTCTTTGCATAGAGGAGATACTCTTCTTCTCTGTGAGATTAGCGAATATTACTTACTCAAAAATTGTAAGTATATGCACGTTCTTGAGTTCTGCTAATGACTGACAATGAAACTTGTTTGGGTAGTAAGAGACTAATTTCCTGGGTCTTATATTCATACATCCTGGAGAGGACATATCTGTTTTGTCTGCATCAACAGCAATCCCCTTCAGGAAAAATACAAAGCTTTTCCATAGGCGCCAGTTGAAAGGATATTTTGATTCCAAGACTATTAGGTAGAGTTAAAAGAATTTTAATAAGGAAAAAGTTGATTTAAAATCTGACCAAAAAGTAGGGCAAATCTTCTTTGCTTACTTAAATTGCTTGCATCGTCGAACTCTCTGAATGATGATATTGATGAGTAGAATTCATTATCATACATCTCTTGAGTAATATTTGAGATCTGAATATATCAATTTTAACATACTTTTAGCTCAGACTTTTCTTTAACAGTCAAAGATAAAGCTCCTCTTTCTATCAAAGATTCGAGTATATAATCTGAGGTAGAAGTCTTTGTCCCTTTAACCATTTGGTCAGCGACATGCTGGTATTCATCATCCCAGCATTGTCGGTTGATAGTATAGGTATTAATCTTTTCAGTGCTGGAACTTGGCTTCATTCCAGGATCTGTCTATATGTCACAAGGTTTGAAGCTCTTAAATTTAATCTATTCATACTTGATAAAAATTGACATTTTGGGTTAGAAATAAACACTCTTTTGAAGAAATCTTACACTACTAAGATTCTGATATGTGCCTAAATTTATTTCCAGTAAGACATTTATGTAGCCACTGCTGTCTTCATGAAAACTCTCCAAGTTTTCTTCATAGCTTTTTCAATTAGTCACAACTCTGAAATTAAGTTTATGGTCGATAAGGGTTTTCAGGAGCAATTCTTTCTCATAGACATTTTGGAACTTAGTCGAAATCTATAATTAAAAGATTCTGTATCATTCTTACGAGTGAAATCTTGGGGTTCAGATCAAGTAAATCCTTTAAAATCTAAATTTATTAATGACGAGACTATCCTTACTGTTACATCTTCAGCAAACTGCATCTGAATAGCCAGATCTAATTGCTTAAGGCAATCTGGGCTTTTCTGCAGTAATTCAAGACAACTTTGATCAAAATTTGAGATCTGAACCTTCCTTCTTCCGTCCCAGATGAAGAAGCTTGACTTGTATTCATTTGAATAGTCGCTCCAAAGGTTGCAGGTTGTCTTAGATATCGAGTTCATAAGCATTTCTCATTGTCTATACCTCATGTGAGATCCTTGTTTCCAGGATATGTATGTTGAACGATAAATTTACAGATCATTTCCAAATATGTATGAAAACTTGTAGAATAGCTTACTGATAATTTCCATAAAACTGCAAGATATTGATATTATTACTGAACTTTAGCAAAAGATTCTTTGTAGCTGTTAAAGATTCCATTTTTAATTATATTCCATAAATATTTCAGATATTGGGGTTTTGGGGTTTTGGGGTTTTGGGGTTTTGGGG